GGATTGGTATATGTTGGCTCATGCAATGAAGAGGTTGCTCAGGCAATTATTATTGCGTTGATGGAGCGAAGTGAGTCAGAACTGGAAGAACCTTTTGCCCGTTTCTTGCCACTTGGTCTTGGACTTCTCTACCTTGGGAAGCAGGTAATTGCAATGAAATAAGATGTATAATGTGAACATAAAAGAAAAATGATTTTTTGGGTTTGAAGTATTGCCAGAGAAGTACACAGTATATTTTTTTACTTCATCCCAAAATAATCTTCTGAGCTACTATTGATAGGGTCAAATAATATCTTCTTTCCTTGCATATTTCCACTGTTAATTTGTTAAAACAAAATATTCATGTCATCTCTTTTGTAAAACCTTTGATGTTTTTAAATATATATAAGGTGATTTTTATTTTTAAAATTTTCCCTGAGCGATAAATAAGTTGAATTGATAATAACTCCAGTCAAACATCTAATGAAAATTTTACGAGAGAGTTAAAGTTGTCTATTAATAATTTAATACATCGGTGGAAGTTGAACCTTTTTGTCCACAAAAGTCAAACCTTGCCTGTTAAAGTGGAGTGGTGGGACTTGGTTTCGTTTCAAAACTTTGAAAAGTAATTTTGTTATCCACACCCATCTTGCATGACATCCAATCATTTTCTTTTAATGTTTGTTCTCTCTTATAATAATGTCATAGGAAAGTGTTGACGCAACAGCTGAGGTTTCAAAGACTTTCCATGAAAAGATTAGAGATTATTGTGAAATGACTCTACTTTCTTGTGCCTATGCTGGAACAGGGAATGTACTCAAGGTTGTCTGAATCTTATATAGTCTCATAACTTTGTTGTCCGAGGTATTTTAGTATAAGCCTCTAACAGGTTGTGGTCTGTTACACAGGTCCAACACTTTCTCAGTAATTGTGCTCAACATCATGAGAAAGGTGAAACCTACCAAGGCCCTGCTGTTCTTGGAATTGCATTGGTTGCAATGGCTGAGGAATTGGGGCTTGACATGGCTATACGATCACTAGAACATCTTTTGCAGTATGGTGAACAGAATATCAGAAGGGCCGTTCCTTTGGCTCTTGGTATCTTGTGTGTATCAAATCCAAAGGCATGTGTCATGAATACCAACCTCAACTTCTCTACTTCTTCCTCTCCTTTCCTCGAATATACAATCCTCACTAATAATTATTTCTTACATGCCACATCTCTTACAGGTCAATGTTATGGACACATTAAGCAGGCTGAGTCATGATTCTGATGCAGAAGTAGCAATGGTATTTAAAATACGAAAGAGCTATTAGGGCTTGTTTTGTTTAGGGGCTTTGTAGGGAATGAATAGGAAAATTTATTTTTATTCTATTAAATTTATCTTGATTTGAAGTCTTAGAGTAGAAAATAATATCATGTTCAGTTAATTAATGTATTTCTATGTGATTTTTTATCTTTGCTTTTCTGGAACCATCTAAATGTAACACAAATAAATGAAAAAAAACTATCACCCTCCCTCTCCCTTCTGTCCCCTCTGCAATTTGATTTGTGTTCAAGTTTAAGAATCTCCCTAAAAGATTCAGTGTTTTTCTCAATTTTACAGGCGGCTATTGTTTCAATGGGGTTGATAGGTGCTGGAACTAACAATGCTAGAATAGCTACGATGCTTCGAAATTTGTCTAGTTATTATTACAAGGATGCCAACCTTCTTTTTTGTGTAAGACATATATGAAAAAATATTCGTATTTGTTTTTCTGTAGCATCATTGTTTTTTTTTTGTTTTTGATTGATGTGTTATCAATGCAGGTCCGCATTGCTCAAGGGCTTGTCCATCTAGGAAAAGGCTTGTTAACCCTCTCACCTTACCATTCTGAGCGGTTCTTATTATCTCCGTATGTGTTCTACTCCCACCCCCACCCCAGACACGGAAATCACCCAAACCCACACATTCTTTTGTCCTTCCTATCATTTCTATAGTGTGGTCGTGTTGATAGGTTGCTTTAGAGTAGTAGGCTAGTAGATTTTTGTGAGTGTTGAGCTTTCTGCCTTGGCAGAAAAGTTTAATATGATTATGAAATTGCCACCATGGTTTTCTAGAGTCTAGACTACTAGATTTTTGGTTTGTTGCAACCCTTAAGACTTGCAATCCTATGCCCTTAAGCACTGTTTTAAACTACTTTTAGTTTGAACACACACATATGAAACATCCTCTCTTTTAGTTTTAAACTACACACATATGATCTTTTAGGCATGGGTAAGGTCTGTTGCACGCGCACCCTTCCAGATTCCACTTATAGAGTTTTTTTGGTTGTTTTGTGTTAACATTTATGCCGTTATTGCTCCATCCTTTCCAGGACTGCTTTGGCCGGGCTTATAACTATGCTGCATGCTTGTCTTGATATGAAAGCCATCATTTTAGGAAAATACCACTATGTGCTATATTTCCTTACTTTGGCAATGCAGGTGAGGGATCTATTGACTTTTGGAACTTGAGGATTTTTAATTATGTTCTAATATTAATATACATGTGGCTTATTTTCCAAAATTAATTTTTTGTTGACTCTTTTTTTGGTTAAAAGCCAAGGATGCTTATGACAGTAGATGAAAATCTGAAACCATTGTCTGTACCTGTTCGCGTTGGCCAAGCTGTTGACGTTGTTGGTCAAGCGGGTCGACCCAAGACAATCACTGGATTCCAGACCCACTCAACCCCTGTTCTCCTTTCTGCTGGTGATAGAGCTGAACTTGCCACCGAAAAGTAAATGATCTTTTCTCTTTAAGACTTCTTTTTCCCATATCCCATGCTTAGCTTTCCGGATCTTTTTTTCCCCTCTGTACAGCTTGTGTGTGGTGGTTTTGGGGGGTGGGTGTGTGGGATAGGGCTATGGAAATCTCTTTAATCCCATCTTGAGCAGAAGTATTTACAAGTTTAACCCAGTTTTTCAGCAGCCATCATATCATGATTGTTAACTTGTTAGGTTTGCACTCACTTGTAAATGAAATCTTGATATATTCACTATGTTATGTCTGGGATATGGGGTTTTGGATGAAATATTTTGGAGGGCTCTGTCTAAAACAAACAAACAAACCTTGTAGAATGCCACAGAATTAGAAGTCGGGTCTCTATTTGGAATATAGGCTCTTTCCAAAAGGGCATAGTCTATGTTTTTATTTACATTTGTGATTTAAAAATAATAATATTTGAATGCTTAACCTAAAGTGCAATCGTAAAGCATAAAGACGCTGAAGAACTGTTTGCCATTGACTAACAACCTACTTCTCTCATGTACAGATATATCCCGTTGTCTCCTGTTCTTGAAGGATTCGTCATCCTAAAAGAGAACCCAGATTACAGCGATGACCTTTAATCTCTGCTGCAAACCAACATGAAATCCAAGTTCTAAACTCTGGAAAAGTTATGACGACCCTCAAAGATCTTGTTTTTATTTCAGAATGTCACCTCAAAGAAAGGGAGTGTCCTTCTTAAAGATGTGCCGAATCTTGTGCTTATTATATTTATGTATATGATCAGTGCAAAATGAGGTGATTTATTGAGGAAAAAGGAAGCCGGAGAGAGGGAGGGAATGAGATGCATAGATTACGTTTTGTGATTTCTTCTAAATTATACCGTATATGTTAAATTCTTTAGTCAATTTGTTTGCATTTTGAATGTTGTTTAGCATTTTGCCACTATCCAAGGACTATTTATGTGTGATTAACCTTCCCAATGGGTCTCAGGTCTCAGCATTAAAGTTTGGACAAAATGTATAGTCCATATCTTATCCCGTTTTCTACTCATACACAAAAATGTTCCATCAATATTTCTTTTTAGCCTGAAATCAACACCTTTTGATACTACTAGAGACTACCTGTCCTAAAGTATTTATCACGTTTGATTCTTTGTGGTTAAATTTGATGAATGTTGATCGTTAATTAGGCAAAAATTGTAATGCATATTGATTCGAAAATGATTCCATTAGATTTATCGTGCAAAAAATTTCATATAACTATTTTAGTGAATTAAACGAATGATGTTCAATGTTTGTTTAATCTGATTTAAAATGTCCAAGTAGACAAATAGTATGGCAGAAATGGATGGAGTAAAAAGTGGACTAAATTGTGTCTGCTTTATCATTCGTGAATCTCACTAAAAGAATAAAATTGTCTCAAGTAATTGAAAATTTAAATTTACAAATACTCATAACAAATTTGTAAATGTTGTACTGTACTTCATTTTTGTTTGTCTCAAACGTTTTTTTGGTTATTAGCTCCGTTAGGAATTCGCATTAGAGATTAGCGTTAGCGTTTTGAAGAGACTATCCGACGATAGTCTTTGGCGTTATCGTTTTCAAAATTAACGTACATCATTAAAATTTTATTTAAAATACTTCGGGGTTGTTTGTTTCCGCCTCTTAATGGTTCAGATGTCTGAATGATTCAGCACTTAATGGTTCAGACTGTTTCTTTCAGCCTCTTAACGGTTCAGATGTCTGAATGGTTAAGAAATTTGCCTCTGAATGGTTAAGTATTATACAGAGTCTGAATGGTTAAGAGCTCTTATCTGAATTGATCAGACATTTGCCTTTGAATAATTAAGCAATATATACTAGCTCTTAATGGTTCAGACCTTTTACTGGTTCAGCACTTAATGGTTCAGACCTCTTACTGATTCAGTACTTACCTATTCAGAAGTTGCCAAACAACCCCTTCCTAAGAAAGTCATTATCTACTTCTATCTTACCAACTTGTTTTCACTTTATTTACTCGTAATAAATATGCATTACTAATTCTTCCATCATAATCTAGCGTGTTTGATATTTTATGTCCTTTTAGATAAGGGCATCATTATTATTACTCCACATTATTATTATTATTATTATTAATATTATTATTATTATTATTATTATTATTATTATTATTATTATTATTATTATTATTATTATTATTATTATTATTACCTGTCCTAAACTTACCCATGCTTTCCTTTTACGTAGTACTCCGTATATCTGAAACGGGTCAAAATATTGGGAGTAGTCGACCCGGCTGGGGTTTAACTTAGGGCTTCTCTTCCACAATTTCCTAGCAGCGGGACATCGGCAGCGTTGATCTTCTCGGCTGACGTCTGTGTGCCGGGAAGATGGTGAAGGTGAGAGTGATATCGCGTTCGACGGATGAGTTCACCCGAGAACGCAGTCAGGACCTTCAGGTAAGCTCAATTTGCACGATTTCACCAAAATCTCCATTACTGCTTCATGCGTTTTTTAAGCCAAAAAAAAAGAAGCTGATTTTGGAGTTTGGAATGTCCTAGAGGGTATTCCGGAACTTTGATCCCAGCCTTCGACCGCAAGAGAATGCAACTGAGTATGTTCGTGCTTTGACCGCCGCTAAATTGGACAAGGTAAATTTAATTTTAGAACTCCGAATATGTTATTTTAGTAGCTATCTGATTCGATTTTACGTCTGTTATTGGCTGCTGATTTTGCTTTTGGTTGTCAGATTTTTGCAAAGCCATTTGTTGGGGCAATGGACGGGCATATAGATGCAATTTCTGCCATGGCTAAGAATCCAAATCACTTGAAAGGAATATTTTCGGGTTCAATGGATGGAGGTATTATGGAGTGAATAGGTTGCAGTGCTCTTGTTTACTTTGTGAAATGCTGGGGTCTTTAAAAAAAATAGAATTCGGAACTCTACTAACACTGGAAAAAATTCAAGTTATTAGTTTCATCTTTTAAAATGCTGGTAGGTAGAATGAGTAACTTTTCCCATAATGTAATTTGATAGGTAAACAAAATCATCATTTGCCTAATACCTTTAAACATTCATCGATTGCAGCTGTTTAGTTTGAGAAACTCTATATAAATATTTTTTTAAGTTTGAGTTCCCATGATTTTGTATTTTCATTGACTTTGGTTGCAGATATTCGCCTTTGGGATTTAGCTAACAGGTAATGATCCTTTTTTTGTAGTTTTGACTTTTTATCAATAAATTTGCTGGGAGTAAAATGCTTCAGTCTGTAGACCTGAATGGTTTTCTATTGGAGTTGTATTTTTTTTCAATTTCTATTTTATGGGTACAACTTATCTCTACTCTTACATTATCAGCCATTTCTAATGATCAGAAAGCTTTCTAACTTCTCATTGTGCACACAAATTGTGGGTTTGTTTTACTCATCACTGGTTCATAAATGATAAAAGGAGAACTGTATGCCAGTTTTCTGGTCACAAAGGTGCAGTGCATGGTTTGGCATCATCTACAGATGGACGTGTTCTTGTGTCATGTGGAACTGATTGCACGTAAGTCTGTAGTTTATCTTTTCTGTACAAATTTTGAATGCCATATGTTAAGCATAGTTTTGAAATATGTTCGCCTCTTGACCGCCCACCTTTTGCCTTTAAAAAGGCTCCCCTTGCCCGCATTTCGCCTCTTGCCTTTCGAAACTATAATGCGAAGAATGGTTTGATTTCTGTGCAAATTCTATAATCCTTTTTGCTCCATATTCTGGTCATTTTTAAAGTGTGAGGCTCTGGAGAGTTCCTGTTTCTACTCTACTACTGGAACCAGAAGATGCAACAGACAACTCTGCCAAGGTTGTGAACTTTTATGCAATTGCAGTTGACTAAAATGCATATGAAATTATGAATTACATTCTTTTGTGATTTTATATTGACTTGCGCTTTCATTTTTGCAGTCATTAGCAGTTTATGTCTGGAAAACTGCTTTCCGGTATGTTTAATTTTAGTTCGCATAAACATTTGTTAAGTGAGTTTGGGTGTGTGGGGTTCTATTTCTTTTTTTCATTATCTATGCACATTTTTTCCCCAGGGCTGTTGACCACCAGTGGGATGGCAACCTTTTTGCAACAGCTGGTGCCCAAGTAGATATATGGGACCACAACAGGTCTGTTTCCTTGCTTTGTATGTTAATTTAGTCAAGCACTTCTTTATTATTTCTTATAGTTGCATTGGAACAGGTCACAGCCGGTGAACAGTTTTACATGGGGAGTTGATACTGCTGTATCAGTTCGTTTTAACCCTGGTGAACCTGACATTTTGGCAGCTTCGGCTAGGTTTGTGCCTATCCAGAATAGTTTATTTCCTGCAAGATGGTTTTACCTTGTCCTTTACTTTTAGATAATACTAGGCTTACAGTTCAGTGTAGACATGTAGTTATGATGAATTTCACATCATGTAAATGTTTGTGATGGATCTAGCAAACCTGTGTATTTGGTAATTGAAGCTTCAAAAGCCTTTATCTAATACAGATAATATTTACCATGTTTATGTCTCAATGATTTCAGTTGTGCTTTACTGGATAACTTTCCTAGGTTTATGCTATGTAACTCTTATTTCTTTGTTGCAATCATAGTACTCCCTCCGTCCCATAATTATCTTCCCTCTTTCCTATTTGGGTTGTCCCAAAATTTTCTTCCTCTTTCCTGTTAAGGAAACATATATGTGCTCCATATCAATTCTCTTTCCTCTTCACAAACCTCAACTACCAAGATTTTAATTTATTAGAAATTGTGCCAAGTACCCGGAAGATTATTGTGGGACAGAAGGAGTACTATTTTAGTGCCCATTAACTTGCATTAATATTCTTTATATTGCTATGTTGGAAATTTAACATACTTTTGTAGTTAGGTGGACACCAATCTTAATACTCCAACAACTGGTTGTCACTTTGAATTGCAATGACTTATTCTCTTAATCTTTTGTCATGGCAGTGATAGAAGCATAACTATATATGATTTACGAATGTCATCACCTGCAAGAAAGATCATTATGAGTGTAAGCAACAAGACTGTCATTGTAACATATAAGTTACCAAGTAAACATTTTTAGGCCATGTCTCTATTATTGTACTCATGGCTTCTTGCATGAATTCTTCATCATTCGGATTCAATGATCTTTTTCTAACATGTCTGATTTGCAGACCCGAACTAACTCAATAGCTTGGAATCCCATGGAACCAATGAATTTCACTGCTGTAAGTGCAACAGCAACTACTACTACTATATTTTTTTGTGGTTTGATTTCTCTGTATAACGGTTACGATCTCTCTCCAAAAATCTTTTTTCTCACTTCTGTGTTCATTTATTTGTGTTGAGGTGAAAAAAGGGGTGGTGGTCAAATCACTGGACTTTTATCTTTTTTCCAACTTATTGGCAAATTTATGTTACATCTCCATATTTAATTTAATCGCTTGGAGGCATTGGGGGAATCTCATAGATCTAACTAGCATAAGAGTTCAATATCGTTTGCCTTAAAAATATTTTGTCCAAATGAGATCCCATATTTATTGCTCACCCGATACATGCTATGTGCACAACCTTGCAGCAATTGCTATTGATGGTAGATTGGAAGATATCACTTAATTATTGTTTTTTAATTGAATTCTCATCATCTCACGAAGTCTTGATAATCATATTTTGGCAGGCAAATGAGGATAGTTGTTGCTACAGCTATGATGCTAGAAAACTAGGAGAAGCCAAATGTGTTCACAAGGATCATCTCTCTGCAGTGTAAGATTTATTTGGAAATGTGGTCAAAAAGTGATAGGCTGACTTCTCTCTTCAGTCTTATACTATTTGAGTTCTAAATTACTCTTTACTTAATCGGGTAGGATTGCATACACTTGTCATCATTTTGCAGGATGGATATAGATTACTCACCAACTGGTCGTGAATTTGTTACAGGATCTTATGACAGAACAGTATGTGCTATCCTTTTTCATGAATAATTTACCCGTTTCAATATATGCACATAATTAAAAATTGAAACAGAGGGTTTCCATACACTAACTACACTATTTATTTTTAGGTGAGAATATTCCCGTATAATGGTGGTCACAGCAGAGAAATTTATCATACAAAGAGAATGCAAAGGTTTGCACAATGTCTACATGTTTCTTCACTGTTCATTATACTGACATGATGTAGATTAGTTTTTTATAAACATTAATATTGCTGATGCAGTAATCATTGGTCATATGATCATATCATGCAAACCTTGGACATGAGGATAATTAGCCTGTTTGGTATAAAGATAAGATTTGGTTAATCTGTCTGAACTGGTTAATTGGGTAATTTGTGGCACTGTTATTTTTGAAATTGCTTAATGGACTGTATGATCTATGCTGGCTAAATGTATACTCCTTTTGTCCCAAAATAAAAGTGACACTTTCCTTTTGGGCTGTCCTAATATAAAGTTCAAAATTTCTTACATTCTTATTAAGGAAAATAATATGCGGCTCACAACATTTTTTCTAAAAAAAATTCAGCCACACTTGTCTACAATATCTTTAACTCCATGTAGCCTAAGTGTTACTTTTATTTTGGGATAGGGAGAGTATTTTGAAATTATTTTTGTTATAAAAGTAATTAAATAATTTCTTTTCAAATGAAGGTAAAGTGCCATCTACTTCTCATTTAAGCTATTTCAAGGAAATAAGTAACTTCTGCACCATTTTATTCATTAACTGCTTTATGCACCAGTCATTTAAGCTAGTGTTTGGTAGTAAGGGGCTGTTTGTTTCAGCCTCTTAATGGTTCAGATGTCTGAATGGTTCAGCACTTAATGGTTCAGACTGTTTGTTTCAGCCTCTTAATGGTTCAGATGTCTGAATGGTTAAGAGATTTGCCTCTGAATGGTTAAATATTATACAGAGTCTGAATGGTTAAGACCTCTTATCTGAATTGATCAGACATTTGCCTCTGAATAGTTAAGCAATATACTAGCTCTTAATGGTTCAGACCTTTCAGCACTTAATGGTTCAGACCTCTTACTGGTTCAGCACTTACCGATTCAGAAGTTGCCAAACAGCCCCTAAGACTGATAAGAAGAAAAATCAGGCCACTAAATGGGAAACTAGGAGATGCAACATTTTATTTATTGCCTCTTTACCTTGCAAATTTTCCTCTAGGTATAAGTGCTCTAATCTAGATATGTGATTATTTACAGGGTGTTCTGTGTAAAGTTCAGTTGTGATGCTAGTTATGTCATCTCAGGAAGTGATGATACCAATGTTCGGTTGTGGAAAGCTATAGCATCCGAGCAAATGGGAGTTGTATGTATCTTTTGGTCTCTGTCGCCTTTTTATTGATATATGAATTGAACACCCTCTGATTTTATGTGTATCTTTCTCTAAAGAGTGTGATATGATCCGTACACCAGAAACTTCATACATCTTCAAGTAAACAAAATTGAGGAAAACCTTAGATCTTCAAATTTATTCCCACTTTTCTCCAACTTTTTAGCATTTTTTAAATATATAATGTGGTTTTAATGAAATTATAATAAGTAAAACTTGTGCAGCTTTTGCCCAGAGAACGTAAAAAACACGATTATCTAGCGGCTGTCAAGAAGCGTTACAAACATCTTCCTGAGATCAAGCGTATTGACAGGTAAATTTCTGTGGCAAAGAGCACATTTTCCCCATGTTCTTTCTTCTCATAAAAGCCCACTATACATACTTCCTCTGTCCTTGTATAATTGTCTATTTATCCATTATGACATTCGACATACATCAAGTATCAAATGAATGTGATTACACTATATGTCCACATTAATGACATACATTCATTTTTTAATGTATCTAAAAAGTTATAATGGACATTTATTTATTTAAGAATGGAGGGAGTATGAGGGTTGCATAAAGACACTGGTGCACAATCACCTCTGACAAGAATTCAGCATTGGAGCATTACTGTTGGTTGTATTTTGACCTTGTTAAATTAAACAAATGTGCAGACACCGGCACTTGCCCAAACCAATATACAAGGCTGCTCGTCTGAGACGAGAGATGATGGAGTCAAGGAGGAGGAAGGAAGATAATGTGAGAGCCCATAGTGCTCCTGGTAGAATGCCGAAGCAGTCCGTGCGTAAAATGAGAATCATTCAAGAAGTTGAATAATCACAAGCTTCTTCCACCACCATCATTGGTGTCGACATGACCACCACCACCACCACTAGCATCATCATCATCATCATCATCATCGTTCTTCTCTCCTTCTCAATGATATACCCCCCCTCCCTCACCCCCCCCTTTTCAACCGACTTCATCTTCATCATCTCATCTCTTCTCATTGACTCCCTCCCTCTTCCTTCATCATCGTCATCATCATCATCATCTGCAATGCCCGTGTTGTTTCCATGTTTTTGTTCATTTGTGTGTAGACTGTAGACACGTAATGGTGATCCAATGTGTTGTGGTTTGATTTTTTTAGATGTTTTGGTTTGATTCATCGGTATTGTTACTACACTCATAAGTTTAAGTGTTTGATTTAAAATATACATTGACGCTTTTATTCTTCTCAATTTGTCTCACAGTTCCCCTATTTTAGGAATTGTCATACTTTCCGTTTACATTCGTTACACTTAAAAAATAAGCATAATTTCATTTCGTTTTGCGTTTTTTTTTAAAACAAAAAAGATACTCCGTATAAAGCATCGTAATCAACAATATAATGTTTTAAAGGGAACAAAAAGCTATAGTTCCAATCTATAATAACACTACCTTTGCTTCATTATTTTTGTTACGAGTATTTTTTACTTCTTTCGTCAATCTCATTGTTTTTGTGTGCTGATTACATTTGTTCTTATTTCATCTTATTTTTTTACTCTTGTTTCAAATAGAATATTATAGTTCTCCTATTAAAAATCGTGGGAATTTTTATTTGAAGAATATAATAAAATATTTTTATCACTTCTTGTCTTGAAAAATATTAGATGTATTTTTTAAATATATACTAGTAAATTTTAATTTTTTACTCAATATTTTACTCCTATCCCAAATTATAAAATCTTAAGTACGGAGTACAATCTAACTTCATCCACATCATTACTTATTAATTCCGAAAACCAAATTACCTGCAAAAATGGCCTCAGCCGCCGCCGCCAGATCGTTTTTCCGGTCTTCTAGTAGCGTTCTTAACGCCGCCGGGCGTTTTACACGCGAAGCCAAAGCAGCCCGCGCCCCTTGCCGCATGACCTACAGAAGCCCTCTGGGATCTCGATTCTTCAGGTTCATATCTATCTGCCTCCCATTTGATTTTATATTCTGGATATAGAAATGCTCTCTGTACGTGCCTTAGTACTTGGTTGCTTTGGATTTGAAGGCGCCCTGTTGAATTGAGCGGCTGCGGAATCTCAATGCAACCATTCCACACAGCCACTGCTTTGGCTTTGATGAACTCGATGCTCGCCGTCTCTCCCCACAGCTTCAGTTGGCTTTCCGAAGGTTAAACACCTCTTGAAAAATCCTTGGTAATTTCGTGTATTTGTCAAACAAGTTATTTTAATGATTGATCCTAGGTGCAAATGTGCAATGCACTCTATGTGTTTGATGAATTGGGTAGCCTATGAAAGATGAAAACTTCATTTATTTAGAACAATGCCCCTTCTTGGAATAGGAAATAAAATCTGATTGTGGCAATCTGTGAGTACCTTTCTGTTTATCTTGACAGCATGTTTGATGACCATGTGATTACCTTGTTAAATTGTACTCCATCTCCCGCAATAATGCCCCACATTTTACCTGTACAGTTATTAAAAAGATGAAATTTTGAAGTTGAGATTTATGCGTAGAATGAAAATAATATGAATCACCTACTTTACTTAGAAGGGAGGATAAATATTACTGTATCTTGGGACAGACAAATGTGGACATGTAGAATCTAGAGTGCACACAAATGCAAACCCCATCTCTCTGCATCCCACAAGTATCGAGGCTCATTATCTTCCCATCCTGCTGAATTGATTCCTTGTAACAACAACAACAACATTACCCCTGTGCCTCAACGGCTCCCGCCCATTGCAGGGTAAGGGGGTCGGATGTTGCCTTGACCAACTGCTGCTTCACAATTGCAAGAAGTGCAGACAGTTTAGAGAGCCAATTTGTTTTATTCCATCATACCCAAAGCAAAAAAATAGTGAATCTTTGGCTCCACTGGGGAATTGATTCCTTATACCTGCATGTTTTTACACAGTTTCTATCTAACCTTAGAAATATAAGCGTCGTCTTCATGCCCGTCACTTTTATAACATTTGTCTTGTTGCTCCTTCCACAATAAGTTTTCTAATAAATGGGTTTTCATTCTTTATCTAGGTGTCTAGTAGCTACGCCAATTAGATACAATACCCCCCTTAAGAACTTTGGTAAGTGATCTTTTGCGTAACTGTTCCAAAGTTTTCTGTGTATGCATTTCTGCAACCTTTTCAAAATCAAGTTTTAAGGTGTTTTATGTGTGACATCTTTTATCCAGATGCTGAGACCAAGAGTTTTCTTGGAAGTTTGATTTTTTTTGTTGGTTTAAACATTTGTCTGCTAGTCTAGGAAATTCTACCAAGTGCCTCCCCTCAACTTGATAATGAGTCCACATGCTGATGATAACTGGTTTGTTTGTTTGTCTTGTTGATGTGTGGATCAGCTTGCAGGGATGATGCATGACTGGGGATCTGTTACTGGAGGACTCAAGTGATTTCCCTGTCCCACATCTTTTCATTCTATATGTTGTATTCATTGATATTGATAAATTGACTTGAGTGTTGCAAAAGAAATAGTCCTTATGTTATTGGCATGGTTATCAAGGCGATAAGTCAGTCCAGTTGGTGTATAGGAGGGGGCTAGTAGACTAGTCGGCCTACTAGAAGTCAGGGCCGGCCCGGAAATGGAAAAAATGAGATTGGCCGTGTGCAAAATTCACGCGTTAAGGTCTTTTTTTGTTTTTTTACAAAGTATTCGTGCTTTAAAATTAGTACAGTACTAAATTTGATTTTCAATAACTACTATAACAATTTGAACATTAAAATATAAAGTTATATTAAATTTAAAAACATCAAGTCATTAGAATAATGAACATCTAATAATATTAGTCCTTAAAAGTTTGGAGGCATTGTGCGGCTGCACACCTTGCACCCCGTCCGGGTAGACTATTTGACAAATCACATTTAGTATTGAAACTTTTAACATTATACATATCTTCATTTATCAAAGATAAACAATATATATTTATATGATAAAACATCATTACCAAAATAAAATTATGTTTAAAGGTAGCACATAGTCATATAACAAAGGGTACGTAAGAAAAAATTCCCTTCAATCTTCAAAAACAATACACCAAGTGCCAACAAAGATAGCAAGCACAAAATAAATTTAGATAAAGAGATCTTACCCATGAAAGATGATGGAGAAGAATCAAATCCAAAAGAGTGGATCCTAGAAGATAGCTTTGGCAAGAGAGATAAGTCCATAAAGACTATCGTGGTGTGCTGAGTGAATGAAGGAGGGGATGCTTTTACGAAATATTTGTAAAATTTAATGAAATTTGGATGGGGTCGAGTTGGGTTAAATTGGGTTGAGCCATATTAAATAGGGCTTGCATTAGCAATTAGTCTTCGCTTAACACGATCAGGCGAGCATTCCACCCAATTTGCTAGGCGGCAATTAAGTCCCCACCACAAAAAAGATTAGACGACTAGTCAGCAACTAGTCAACGGCTTAACAACAATGAGTATTGGCTTGACTATCTTATTTTATAATATCTCATTCTAGAAATGGTAAATCTCTAGTCGTACCAATCGTTGATACCAAAATTTGACATCATGTGTTTCACAAATATACATAATGAAGATTGTCTTTGTGTCAAAGTTGGTGACAATGTTTTTCTTTTACCAATGCAGTTCCTTCTTGTATAAAAGCTGATGTACATGTATTCTTGCAAGTTTCACTTATTACACCAGTAATCTATGTGTACAAGGGAGGGACTTGTCAAAATTTTTTACAAGATTAAATGGATTTCTAGAGATTAAATGAGTAAGTTGGAAACACGTTGAAAAGATAATTTTCACAAGAATAAACGAATTTCTAGAAGATAAAATGAATAAGTTCAAAACACATTACCCATTATGGATGAATTTATTTAGGATCATCCAATATCAAATCATGTGCTACATTTTAATTATAGATGATGATATCATTTTAGTGGGCAAACATGAGCAAATGCTAAGATAAATCAAGGTAAAATGGAGCCTAAATGTTGTACAACCAAAATTAAAAGACAGTGGGGATGAAATTGGATTTTGATGTGAAGGACCATCAAAATGACATTGTTCAAATGATTGAGATCTATATCATACAAAATAGAGACATTTATAAAGATTCAACACACACTGAAGATGAAGTAATGGAGAACCAGTTTCCTGTTGTCTAATGAAGTGTGTACCAATTTGTGAAGAAGTTAAACCTCAGTTTTAGGTAAAATGCACAAGAACCAAACCAAGCCCCTTAACCAAACAAGAGAGAAAGAAATACTACGTGGTAAAATTAAGGAACGTGAATTGAACCAACTAATAGGAAGGCCAAACCATCGCTATTAAGATTTATACCAGTGCAAAATTAGAAAACCACTGAAATTCGTGTACATGCTGGGAATGCAAAAGTAAAACGAGGAGCACTTGAAAGCTTAGTCCCATAAAAATATTATATTCACCCATAAGACGACCCCTCTTTATTCCTTCACTTCCACATTGACCAATTCGTACTCGACTAGAGATAGATTGTTATCTTCTTTGACATCAAAGCTAGCAGGTTCTGGTGCAACCTCAACACGCCCCCATTTGTCTACTGCCAAACGCATTGAGCCTTTGAACATGTCTATCTTTGCATTCCGGATGATCACCGTGTTGCCAGGGGCCATTGTGTCAACTGCACTCGAAAGGGAGACATAATGGGAGAAAAGATCATTAACTCTAACATGAAGGCATGAACAGTATGCTAGCTAGCAAACCAAATGTCAAGAGTAGCCACATAGATGGGGCTATGAAATTGTTGAACGACTTATTTATAAGGTCAATATGTCAGCGGTAAACAACATATTAGTTGTATTGTATTTCTATTTCAGAGTCAAGCTCTGTGATCTGCAAGCTGATTTTACAATATCCACGTCCAATTCGCAATGAATATAGGAACCATTTTGGCTGTGTTTGTCATTAGTGTTTGCCTGTTTGACTTCAACATTTTGAAAGTGTTATCCAATGGAAGCTTTTAATGTTGACATTTTTAAAGAAAAGATGCACCAATAAAAATTATCCAAAATGCTAACACCAATCACAAACATTGTTGCCAAACAAAGCATTCTAACTCATTGCATTCTCGTGATATTTTCAACGAATTGAGGGAAAACATGATTTGCTGGTAGTTCTAAAAGTTCACTTTATTGTTCATTGTTTCAAAGGTTGGGACATGAAGGGCATCCATGGTAAGCTTTGACAATAAAAACTTTTGGCATGACGTTGTAGTGTGGTACATTTAGGCAATCAATTGATACTGCAAATTTCATATGACCAACCCCAACATACTCGAGATTAATGTGGTAATGATGATGATGGTAGTTCCAATAGTTTCTCCAATTATCAAATGTTTACCAAATGCACATTAGATTAACAAATCAAAAACCTTGTGCATTACACTTCCACTGAAGCAACTAAACAAACTAAGCACATGCCAAATTTTGTATGCAGACCTGCAAGAACTGTACAGAAAAACTAAACAAGAAATCTTTCTATGCAGAGAAAATGAAAATGCAAGCCAAATGTTGCGTTAGTCACCAGTTTAGCTCGCATCAAGTGATAAATTCCTACCTTCACACCACTTTGATTACAATATCACAGCAAAACATTTCTAAAAGAATGAAAGATTAGCAAAAATTAATACGGAGTAAATCTTAAGAGGTGATCTGTTAATTTGTATCAATGTTGAAATAGAATAATCATGAACAGACAATCAAAGAAACAAACAATCATGAGGCAGATTCATACACAGATATGCATATTACATATACATATATATAAACATACATAAACAAATGCTAAAAATATACCTTGATCGTTGCGGGCAGTGAAAACGATGGACCCAGTTTCGTCACCCACGAGGCACTCGGCTATACGCTGAGGGACGGCGGAACGAGAGTTGAGAGACATCGAAAACCTTCCGCCTCCGCGCCTACCACCACCGGCGCCGCCGTTGCTTTTGATAGGGACGGAATTGATAACCTTCACCGTCAGATTATGGCCGTTGGTCCCAGGTTTCAGGCTGTCGACTTTCACGAACACCGGCTTCCTCTTCTCTACAGATCCAGCAGCCGCCGTCGCCATCTCGTCGAAATTCAAAGATTTTAAACCCTAATCAACAAAATTTCCGAATCAGAGGTACTTCTCACTGTGTTTCGAGGAAATGAACTCTATGTGTATATATTCCCGGAAGGGTCTGTTTGGAAAAAAATGGTTTTTAATTAGGGTGAGATTCTAGATTATTTTTCTAATAATGTAAATTAATTTTAAAATCGTTAAAATTATTATTTTTTAAAATAATGCTTAAAATTATACATTTAAAAAGTAGCAGAATGCAACCAAGCTCATTTTAACTAAGAAATGTTTTTCAATTTTTTGAACAATACAAATTCTATCACAAGAGTATCTATTCATACATCTTTAATCCATTGAAATTAAGCAATTTAAATTAATTAAGCATTACCTTAAGACATATTTAATTTAATTTATTTTTTACTCAGTAATTTCTTTTCTATAAGAAAATTTTGGTGAATCTACAATGTAATAAAGTAAATAATAGTAATATCTCTATCTCAATGTATTTGTTTTATTTGATTTTTTTAAATCAAGCTAAAAAATTTGAACTTTAATTAATCTCAATTTATATTATATATTAATATAATAAAATATATTTTAAAAAATTCTTAAAATGATAGATCTAATAAAATCATTTTTACACAAAAATATTTTATGATGTTTATTTAGTTGAACCTAAAGTTCATTTAATTTGACTTGAAAATGTCAGACAAAAAAAGGTTCTAGCTTATGAGGTTTATAGAGAAAAAAATCAATTAATAAATGAGTAAGATGGCCAAGTTGGTCTTTTGAAAGGAATCTAAATCCAACAGCTAGATTTTATTCTCATTTTCTCTACAAGGTGCATTCTCACAGGAATCGGCCCCTAATTTCATCTGGATCAAATATGCCTTTAATAATATTCAAATCAACGCTAATACTTGAATTTAAATTTGTATTTGAATTATAGAGATTCAAATCATTTTATTTAAATTTAATTTTAAATCAAATTTAAATTATTTAATTTGTTTATATCCATATGTCTAAGGGATTTAAATTTGTTTAATTTGTTTAAATTATTTAAATTATTTAATTTGTTTAAATCATTTTAATTTGTTTATAAGGAGCAGGCCTCAAGGTCTATTTTCTCATTATCGAATCATGGGCCATTCTATTCCACAGTGGACTATTACACTGGTTTGAGAGGCCCAATCGGCTCTAATTAAAGGGGGAGGTACGCTTTATATTAATCACATTACAAGCCCGCTTTATATCAATCACATTGATATTTTAGCTTCATTTATCATTCTAGACAAATTTTTACCACATATTTATTTTTTTATTTTTTTTTAAATTTTGTAAGTCAAATATATCTTTGAACATGGTGTAAATTTTTTCCACTCTAATAATATCAAAGGATTAAACAAAATACTTCGTGCATTTCTAATACGATCTGTAATATAGTACAACATAAATCTATTAATGGGTGTGAAATATAAATATGTCGTAAATGATTTCTTTAAAACTTTCAAAGATAATCTCATTCAAAATGGTACTAAATTTATTTAAGTTATATAAATTTTTTTACTCAACGCTAATTCCTTAAACTACACGCACCGATGATCAATGTTGGAGCCACCTTGAGGTAGTTGGGGACATGGCCTCTCATATCTTTTGCCTAAGTAATCCTTCATCCCCAATTGGATTCTATTGTCATTATTATGACCTCTTGATAACTTTAATTTTTATATTTCATTGATAATTTGATAAAATAAAATATTTTTTTCACTTTTTGTTTCATAGGGTTTTTATGTACTTTTTAATAGTGTAATTTATACTTTTTAAATCTATATTAATCCGTAATTTAAATGATTATAAAAATGATGAGATTTTATATGTGTTATTCGGACTATGTGTTAGAATATAAATAATTATTCCTGGGCCACAACCATAAGCTTGAGCTTTTGGTTGAGTTGATTCCTTGACATGTATCGGAGCCTTGTTGACTAAGAAGTCACAGGTTCGAAACTCAACGCCACCCGGCTTTAAGAAAATTAAAGTTTCATGTGCAAGGCTCGAAAAAGACTATGCCTGCACGTGAGGGGGCGTGTTAGAATATAAATAACTGTTCCTAGGCCACAACAACAAGCTTGAGCTTTTGATTGAGTTGGTTCCTTGACACTATGAGATTTAATTCGTATTTACTCCCTCCATATTTTACTTTTTTAAAAAAAAATCCGTTAAATCCAATTAAGAGACTTTTTTTTGGGACAGAGAGTATTATAATTCACTATATATTTTTCATAATCTATAATCAAAGTTTAAAACTATGATCATATATATACTTGCCCCGTCCCAGTGTATTTGTCCAGTTTGATTTTTTCGAGTCAAACGATTTATACACTTTCGAGATTGGTACAATGGTACCTTCGTGGGAAAAAACGTGCAATTCATACAAGATTGTGCACACCCCTACGGGTGTCGTGGTTGAAAGCCAAAGCCCGCTTGCATGCATGGAACAAGTCAACTTCTACTCCATATTTATAATTATTTCCTCCTTTTATTTGCTTTAACATATTATTCGTGGGAGTACTTCAATTTATTCTGAAAGATGAAATTCCCGAATTGCTTTATTAACATATTTGTGGAAGTACTTTATTTTTATTTAATTATTTTAAAATTACTTTGTATAAACTTTTATTCAATTCTTGTTATTGCTATTATAAAATTAAGTTGTGTAGAATTAGTTATAACATTTATATATTTAGAAGATATATTAGATTTTTTGGTGATTTGACAATTAATTCCAAAATTTTAGTTTTAAGTAATACATATATACATCACTTAATTGTATCGATTGACAATTACGCCACACATCATCCTGATTGTCCCAAAAAAATTCACTGTAAGAGGCAGAGTAATCGTAACTTGGAAGCGTAATCCACACCCAGTAATAATAACAGTCTGATTCCAACGCTCTTATTTGCGAGCAACACTGAGAAGTGAGGGGTTCAAATTTTCCATGATAATTTTGATCGAAGCGCAACACATTAGCTAGACATTATCACTTTGGTGCACTCTAAAAAACACTTCATGGGAAATAGCTAGACATTATCTGCTTTTCTGAGGTCAAACAGTAATGTTGTCCTGAATGTCACATCCAACTGCATTGTAGCATCGATTTTTCCTAGGGGAAGGAGACTCGAGATTTTTAATCCCTTTGGTGTCAACTGAGTGCTCATTGTATACCATCAAACAAGGGAGCCCGAAAGTAGACCCAATCCAACAAGTATAATCATACGGGAATTATCATCTACGATAAATATATTTTCTTTTGAGACGTTGAATTGCACAATGAGAAATGTAATGAGTATATCTAATAATAACTTCATAAATTAACCATTCGGAGGAAAAATAATTGTACTCAAAGGTGATTTTATCCAAATTCTTTCAGTTTTACTCATAGCTTTGAGAGTTGAAATTGTAGGTGCTACCACCAATTCCTCACAAATGCGGTTGTATTGTAAAATTTATACGTTTACCAAAAATATGAGATTGCATTAATCAATACTCTGTTGCACAGATAGTGACACAGAAGTTTTTTCTGATTGGATAATCAAAGTCGAAGATGGAAAATTTAGACAAGTGATCAATGGAATTGCTCACGTTGAAATCCTGCCTGAATTCTTGATTCTTGAAATAAGTTATCCCCTCAAGAGAACAATGGAATTCACTTATCCGAACCTACTAGAGAACATGAAAAATTATTTTTTTTAAGGATACTGGAGTATTATCACTCACGCTCGAGTTTGTTGAATGGTAAATGAATTTGTCTTATCCCTTATTCTAGGAGGTGAAAAAGAGTACTTAATTTTTGATTCTTCATGCAAAGTTAACAATTGGATAGCACTTTAGTTTTTTAAAAAAATCAAATGTTCCGGGATCCTAAACCTTAAAATATTTTTTAAAAATAGGATATCGATTATGTCATTAAAGAACATTAACCAAATATCTGGATTGTGTAATGGTAGAAAATTAATCGTTGAGAAGTTGAGAAAGAATATTATCACTGCAATGGGACATTTTGGGAAATCAGTTGGGAAAAAGATTTATATACCCCGAATGAATTTGGTATCATTTGATTTAGGACTACCCTTGAAATTCTAGAGAAGATAATTCTTAATATTATTATATTTTGTTATGACTATTAACAAAAGTCTAGGTCAAACATTGTCTTTTGTTGTATTATTTTTAACCAATTCAGTATTTACTCATGGTTAGCTTTATGTTACTTTTTCACGAGTGAAGGCAAAGACATAATTAAAAATATTGGTTCTAGATGATAATGAAAATTCTTACAATCATACCAAAGATGTTGTATACCTTAAAGTCTTTCAAAAAAATTGGAATTAAAAAAGAAATTTTCGAGTACACTTCCAGTTCCTCAAATACTATTTATTCTGATGGGTATATCCCTATACCCAACCCGGACAACCGAAAGGGACAGGTCAAAGTATGACCGGTCACTTTTATCAATCACCAAATGAGGTTAACTCTTCGATTTGGACGGGTCAAAAGTTGACCGGTCACTTCCACTAAAAAAGTGACCGGTCACATTTTGGGCGATAGCGAAAATATCACCTTATTCTACGAAGGACATTCTAGAAGACCAAAGAGACGGGTTGAGCGCAAGAAATGACCGGGTAACCTTTCAGAGAAGGTGACCGGTCATATCACTTTACTTGGCTAACATTGGTCCAGTCTCTTAGGCATGGTG